GCCATTATCGTTTTCCTTCTCAAGGTAATAGTAATATTGTGTGGCGGTGGATAAGCTCGCATTGCCTGGTGGTTTCCATTTGAGCTTCAGGTAATTTGGTCCCGCTTCCGAACAGAGGAGGTTAGGTGGTGATGGTGGCGGCGCTAGCGTTGTGGCCGTTGCCCAAGCTGGAGCACCCATTCCGACTGCATTCACTGCACACACTGATAACCTAAACAATGGAAGAACTGAACCATGAATCTGTGCAAAACAAGAACGACAGAGGTGGTAGGCTCAAAATGATGGCAGAAATGGCTATCAGTCGGAGGGAATCGAAATGTGGTAAGGAAGATCAGAAAAACTACGACCTAATCTGCTTACTCTTTCACATTTACATGCAATTCACGAGAATTATCATTTAACGAATAAAAAGACTCCTCGACAAACAGCAGTACAAGGATGATAGCAGAGTTTCAGCATGCTGCAAGCAAACTACACAGAGATGTGTTTGCCAGGAAAAAGTTGACAGTTACGTCCGTCTTGGCCAGGAAATAAATTTTTGCCGTTATCTAGCCAAAAATCCTTCTGCTGCAATTTTTGGCTAGATAACGGCAAAAATTTATTTCCTGGCCAAGATGGACGTAACTGTCAACTTTTTCAAGGCGGTTGGCGCAAATTTTACAGCAACGTTAACACCCTCAGTATGTTGAATCAGAAGGGTCGTGTCCGCCTCTTCAACATTGCTGTGGTGAAGGCAGTGATGTATGTTTTCGCTGACCAAAGTAAAACATCGAACTCGGCTAGCGGTGGGAAGGATGATGGAGCAAAAGAAGCTTGGAGTGTTCCTTCGTGACCATACAGATAATCTGATTCCCTAACAGATAAGTGACGTTTCTACAATGTTTTTGTGATCAAATGGGAAAATAAAAGACTACACAGTTGGTTTTCGAAGGTGATGAATATACATCAGGCAGGAGCAAGGTACTACGTTAAGCATGCAGCTCAGAATCGAACAGTCTGACAAAGCTGCGTCCGGATTGTGGGAGCACTTAAACAATTTTCACTAAACAAGTGAATTTTACACCAAATGTTCAAGCGCTCTTGATATTCTCGGTATTCCAGCAATGTTAAATGAAGGCTGCGAGATGGAACGGCCTACGATTGGAAGGCCATTTTAGCGTTTATAAAATGGCCCTTCCAATCGTAGACTGTTTTCAAAAATTTGAAAAAATGCAAAACAGAGAACTGGCATCGGTGGTGAGAGGGAACACGACGATGAAACAACAGCCGATCAAAGTACTAAAGTATAGCATTCTGACCATTCAATCACGGCAAGAAAAACAGTGAAATACGCGAGGCCAATCCTTCGAAAATACAGTTAGGACCGTGAAAAAGTATCTAGAAACCGGGGAGCCAAACTCTTCACAAAAAAAAAAATCATCTATTGAGGAGGCCTGAAAGCATCAGAATAGAAGACAAAACCTGTAGGTGT